AAGTAACAATTCAACTTACTGCTTCTATCATAGCTCACGATGGCTGATAACCTTTCTACTCATCTTTTTGGAGCATTCTTTCTGATCTTTGCGCTTCAACCTTTTGCAATCAAGGCTTTAGAACTTGAACCTGGTCAGAATCTTGAGGGAGCACGAAAAGGAGAAACTATCTATGGGCTCAATCAAATCAAGAAATACCTCAAGACCTATGGCTACTATCACCATGACGTCGAGCATACACTCGACGATCAGTTCGACGACCCTTTCGAGTCTGCCCTTAAAGCATTCCAGAAATACCTTGGTATAGATATAACCGGCAAGATCGACTCTGATACAATACAAGCAATGCTGACTCCTAGATGTGGTGTCCCTGATGGCTTGGTTTCTAACTATAGTTTCCCAGGGGCCCCGTACAAGTGGACGCCGAGGAATCTTACTTGGAGTATCCGAAATTCTGTCAATGGATTTACAGAAAATACGCTGAGTCCCATCTTTGCCGAGGCATTGAAATCATGGGCAGATGTTTCTCCATTCAGCTTCAAGCAAGTGAACAAAAACGTGAAACACGAAATCGATTTCGGATTTTTCCCAAAATATCACGGGGATAGTATACCTTTTGAGGATGGTGTATTCGCTCATGCTTTCTATCCACAAGATGGCAGGCTTCACTTCAATACAAGATGGAATTGGACCTCTGATCCTACTAAGATAAAAGTAAAGTAGATCTGGGATCATTGCGGTGCATGAACTCGGACATACTCTCGGCCTGAACCATAGCAGCAATGACACTGCCGTCATGTATGCATATTTTGACGCTGGAATTATCAAAGGAACCTGACCGATGATGACAAAAAGGGTATAAAGCTCTGTACCCTAATTGAAGAACTACGTTGGTTTCACAATATATCACACTCATACAAAACAAGAGTGTTTGTAAAAATAGCACAATTGCAATACTAGAATAAGAGAGTGGTATATATATATATATATAATATAATATGCTAATATATGTGGAAGCTTCAGGTTTCATATCTGGTAAAGCATTACCTAAGACATAGTTAAAACTTAAAAGTTGGTCTGTCGTGACCATAGAAAAAAGCAGTTTTTTTTTCTCAGCAAGACTATATTATTAATAAAGCAAAAACCCGAGTTTGTATATTGTTAAAAACCTCCCTAACCTAACGAAGGAAACGAGTACACTCAACGATGGGGAAAATACAACACCCGACAAAACCAAACGAACATCGCCCATCAAACAGCAAACAAGCAGACCCAACAGCAATAAACTCGACAAAACATCGATCATCACCTTACATACATCACCCAACAGACCCATAAACAACCCACCTCCCTAAGCCAGCAGCACAAACAGACAAAACCAACGCAGCAAAACCAGATTCCATACACGTAAAGGAAACTTGAACAAACCTAGAAATTCTCATTTTAAATTTATGCTTATCCTAGAGTAAGATTAAGCCTCCAGACCTACCCATTGCCTTTGAAAATAAACGTTCATATTCATCAACATACCACAAACTGCTTACCTTACTTTCAACCATGGAATCCAGCTTTGATTAAGGAAAATCAACATTTTAAATCTCACAAACCCTAGGATGAAAATTGTGATCCCACCCGATTCTGATAATGAATCGACAATAAGTACGGTGGCATATAACTAGGATGATGGTAGGGACTACATCGGCGGCGGTGGTCGTGGTCGGAGAGGGCGGCGACAGCGTATTAAGGTTAGGATTTGGGATTTTGGAATATTATATAATATAAGAAAAGTTAGTTTTTTATAAATATAAAATATTTTTATTATTTTTTAAAAATAAATTTTAAAATTATCAGATTGGGACACGTGTTACTTAACGAGGAAAACTAACACCATCGACGGACCGGACACCTAAAGTATTAACATTTGTAACTGCCAAGTTTCAAATGAGAAGGAAAACGTAAGAACCTCTCCTTGGGACCTCCTGGTTGAAGAAGAAGAATGAGTTAGGGTCTGTTTATTTGGATGTAACTGGTTTTTCGGAAAATAAATTACTGAAATTTGAATTACTAGAAAATGAATTACTGGAATTTGAATTCTGGAAAATGAATTACATTTTTAGAAAACATTTCCCGAAAAATAAATTACATTTTTCTAAAAAAACATCTGGAAAACGTTTTATGATGTTTGAAAGATGTTATTTAAATCTTTTTTTCACTGGTTGAAGAGTTTTTTAAAAATTATTTATTACAAATATTAAATATAATAAATAATATTATTTATCATAAAACTTAATATTATTATTTTAAAATATTAAAATAATTTATTTATTATTGAATATTATTTTTATAATTTTATTAATAAAAATATTAATATTGGTATATTTTAGTGAAATAAAATATAATTATATTAATTATTTATTAAAGTAATAGTGTTATATTATATTTTCAAAATATTAATTAGTATTTTAAATATCTTTATTAAATATTATTTAAATATATAATATTATTCATTATTAATATATAAAAAATTATTATATATTATTAAAATAAAAATATATATCTTATATTACTATAATATAATTGATTATTTTATATAATATTAAAAATATTATATTATTATTATAAATATTAATAAATATATTTTAAATATTTTAATAATTAATATTTTGATGAAAATGATATTAAAATATTTTATTAATATTAAATTCATAAAATAAAATTATTTTAAGTATTTATTCTTTGAAGTGAAAAGTTCGAAAAATGACTTACGGAAAATGAATCTGTAAGTCATTTTACAGAAAACACAAAGAAAATTTTGTTACTAGGAAAATGAATTACGTTCTGGAAAACGAATTACATGAAACAAACAAGGGAAAATATTTTCCGGAAATAAACACGAAAAAATATTTTCCGAAAAACGAATTACATGAAACAAACACGTGATTTCGAAAAAACTCAATTCCGTAATTGGATTTACGACAAACAAACACACCATTAGATTAACTTGATTTTCATGGGCAATGCTTAACTTGGTTTTAGAGAGAGAGAGAGAGAGAATGTTTTAGATTAAGAGAGAAAAAGAATAATTTGGGGGTTGAAGGAGAAAGAAGGGTTAACTGTCACATCAATAAAAAGAAGGTTAATAGAAGATTAACTACCACATCAGTAATAACTATCGGATAGTAACGATAAAGATCTTACTTAATACGAACTAATAGTTCAATGACCGTATTACAATTTTCAAAAATTAATTGACCAAAATAAAAACACCCTAAAAGATCAAAGACTATTTATATACTTTACCCTTGTTTTAATTGAAATGTACCGTAATACCATTAATGAAGTAGGAATGGAGTGCATTTTATACCATTAATGATTTTAGACAATTTAAATAATGAAAAACAACAATTAATATTTGCTTTATGGTATGATAGTCGAAATTTTAATTAATTGAATATATTTTGTTAGTTAGAAAAAAAATAGTTAGCTGATCAAAGTAGATTCAGCTAAATAAATTCTTATTCCCATCGGGTAAAAGAAAATTTCAAGTCCCGTTTAGGTATTAGCAGGCATGAAGACGCACACCAAAACGCACAACAAACACTGAAGAGATAATTCAACTTCCTTCTTTTGTAATAGCTCGCAATGATTTATAAACTTTCTATTCAACTTTTCGGAGCATTCTTCCTGTTCTTTGTGCTTCAACATTCTGTAATTAAGTCATCAAGGACTTGAACCTGTGCAGAATCTTGAGCAAGACAAAGGAGACACTATTGATGGGATTAATAAAATCAAGAAATACCTCAAGACCCATGGTTACTATAATATGCTCTACGATCGTTTTGAAGACTCTCTCAAATCTGCTCTTAAAGCATTCCAGGAATTCCTTCATATTGATGTAACTGGCACGATCAACTCTGATACAATACAAGCAATGCTGGCCCCTAGATGTTGTGCCCCTGATGGTTTGGTTTCTAACTATAATTTCCTAGGGGGCTCGTACAAGTGGAGGATGAGGAATCTTGCTTGGAGTATCCGAAATTCTGTCGATGGATTTACAGAAGATACACTGCGTCCCATCTTTGCCAAGGCATAGAAGTCATGGGCAGATGTTTCTCCGTTCAGCTTCACGCAAGTGAAGGAAATCGTTACACATGAGATTGATATCAGATTTTTCCCAAAAGATCATGGGGCTCGTACCCCTTTCAATGATGGTGAATTCGGTCATGCTGCTCTTCCATCAGATGGCAGGGTTCACTTTAATAATGAACAGAATTGGAGCTCTGATCCTATTAAAGATTAAAGTAAAGTAGATGTGGGATCAGTTGCTGTGCATGAACTCGGACATGGTCTAGGCCTTGATCATAGCAGCTAGGAAACTGCCGTAATGTATGCATATTATAAACCTGGAAGTATTAAAAGAGACCTGACCAATGATGACAGAAAAGGTACAAAAGCTCTGTATCCCTGTTGAAGAACTTGCATCAGTAAACCCTAAGCAGGTTTCACAATATATCGCACACATATTAAACAATAGTGCTTGTACAAATAGCAAAATTGAAATACTAGAATAAGAGTGATATATATAAATATATAGCACGCCATTATAAGTGGAAGCTTCGGGCTCCATGTATGGTGAAGCAATACCTAGAAATAGTTAAAAGTTGTTCTGTCACGATTTTAGAAAAAAAGCAGTCATATTTTGAGTGCGATATAGACTTGTTTTCAATTAAATAACAAAAACTATCATTAATGTTATCTTTATTATTGTTAGAGATTAATCTTTTATATGAATTATGCATAGTTCGCATGCAAAAAGTTAAAGTCTCATTTAACAAAAAGTTTTAGCTGAGAATAGTTCACATTTCACGATAAAACATGGACAGAAGTTGTCTAGTGCTGGCCAACCAACAAAGCTTAAAAGGTTGAACGTGATCTAGTAACCTTGTTACGGAGCATAAAAACCAACATTAATGGCTAATTGACAAAAACATGTCCATGCAAGGCAGGATGGTGTCATATGTGCCAGTGAACCAGTTAAGGCCTAGAGTCTTACACATCCTCCTCGGAGTTGGCCTAAATTCAGGTTTTACTTCATGATCCAGTCCTCTTGAACTTGACCATCTGCAAGTGCAGCGGAATCAATCTAATATGCAAACACTAGCAAATTCCGCAGAGCCACAAATAGAATTTTGTAAAGATTTAATGAGCTTGAAGATGCTTACTCATGAGATTAACAGCTTGGTTTGCGAGAGCATCAGCTTCGGAGTTAAATTCCTTGAAAACAAACAATGTCATTTGCATCTCATAGTCACAGAATCAATTGTTTGAGTTGACATTAAGATATCACACATAATGTTCTTATTGCTTCGTTACAATATATAAAAACTAGTCTAAAACTAGAAATGGCACGTCATTACTATGACTCAGCGTAGAAAACAAGTATATGGAGAAGCTCATGAAAATTTAAGAATTTATTATCAACCCGTACCCTGCCAATATGATTGATCTGGAATGACATAAACTTAACCTTAAGATCCTTTGCCATTTTATTTAACTCGATCAAATTCTGACTTTTAATTTTCCACGAACCTTGAACCTGTTGGATGAGGAAATTGCAAAGGAACAAAAGTCATAAAAACAGAATGAATAAGTGAATGTAGTAGAAAGCAATAAACTATTTACCTGCATACAGACGAGGTTAGAATCTCCTTTTACACGAATGTGTTTGAACCCCATTCTGAGAGCATATTTCATCCCCAAAATGGCAGCTCGATATTCAGCCACATTGTTTGTAGCAATGCCAACGCCTTCACACAATCGACACACCTATTAAAGGAAAAAGTTAATCACTGATAGGCCACTTCCTAAAAGCATAGCACATAATTCAAGTGACACCATACCACTCTTCCATCTTCAGCTCGTAAAACTGCTCCTGCACCAGCTGGTCCAGGATTTCCTTTAGAGGCACCATCAAACTCAACAATACAGTATGGCTAAACATTGACAAAATCACATCCTTGGTTAAATAACCAAAGCACAGAATCCCATAGAATCCATACAATTACAGTGTTCACACTTCACAGCTGTCTTGGTGCTGATAACCGTATTAATGTAATGATATAAAAACATTTTAGTTCTACAATAAAAACGACAACTCACAGAATTTGAGGCCGCCATTTGAGTTTCAGTTTGATTAGTGAAGTTCATGTGATTTATTCCAGGATTAGTGGAAAGAGAGGATGGTCCAACCTGACCCTGCAATAAGAGTCAAAAACCTGTCAACTTGGTAAAATAATTACTGTTAGGGAACCTCTTTCTCTTCTTTCAGTTAAGCAACTACAAGAAATTACTCAACTTTCAAACTAATAATAATACTAACTGTAATTATTACTACTCTCATGCAAACCAGTTGAAATTTAGACTATTCAACTTCAGATCAAAATCTAAAAAATAGAGCCACATTTGTACCTAACTTTTGCATCCTAACATGTTGCACAAATTGAGTTACTGTCACAATTTTACATTTTTAGGTTTCGGAAAAGAACCTTTCCAAGTACTTGTTGCCGCAATCTATTTGGTGAAGCATCCCTGTTGGTTGTATTTCCCCTGGAAGAAGTTGGTTGCTGAAAGAAATTTGCACTTTCTAATGAGGATTCCTCTATTATGGCACAAGTTGTGCCATGTACGAACAACATAAAATCTTAATTATTTATACAAGTACCATAGCGTAGAGATACTATCATTCAATCACATTCAAGAATTATGTGGGAATTGACATGCAACCAAATAACAATTCAAGCACAAATATAACACTCGAAAATAACACGAATACAACACAAATATACGGTAAATCAATGGGGGAGGTAGGTGAATCAACCTGAGGAGGGCAAGGAACAAGTTTGCCAAAGGTATTATCATTAACATCAGAGGCACTTATGGAATAGGCAGCATTTTTCAGCCCACATGAACCAAGGTACACCTCAGCCTGCTTTGAGAGACCATATCCTTTATAAACCCTCATGGAAGGATCATGTGCCTGTTAGGAAAAGTTAAAACACCTTTTAAACTGCTCAAATCACATTTTTTGTATCTTATTCAACAGGTAAAGTCGAGCAAAACCCGCAAAACATCCAATAACTATAAAAGAAAAATAAATAATGCCCACATTTGAAAATGTACAATTTGATAAAAAATAATAATACCCAGTAGAAAATTCGCCTTAAAACAACATAAAAGTAAAGTTCAAAAGAAGTATTTGAATATGAAGTAGTGAAAGGAAGTGTAGCATTTACTGAAATTCCAGATTCTGGTACTAAATCCCTTAAAGTTTTGTAAATGCCGATAACGTCACCCTTCTGGACAACGTAAAAAGCATCGTTTTCTTCCTCCATTGATGACCCAAAATATTGAATTTACAGATATTGGCGATGAAAAAAAACAGTTTTTAAAAGCTTTCAAAGAGTGCTTGAGAAGCTTTCAAGTTTGACGATCTGCTGCAAAGTATCAGGGTAAGTGGCAGGCAAACTGGCAGGGGTCTTTTCAAAGTAAAGGGCAAAAATGAGCAAATCACAAACTTCGATTTGGGCTTTGGCGGGAAAATGAGCAAATCACAAATGGCCCATTAGTTATGGACTTGAAACTCAATTTCAAGGCGTTAATGATTACCGGTACATGTAGGATACAATAAGGAATTTGTACTCTTTGTTTAATACCTTTGTGTAGGGTAGATATAGCTAATTAAAGCCTGCCCTGGTTATCTTGTGATCATTTCAGGCTATTTGATACCAATTTTTTTTAATATTCTCTTTCTGATACCGTTTGATCAATATTTTTCGAAGTAACATCTTTTTTACTGAGTTGGCAAAGGCGCGTCCCCGGGGACGCGCTTTACCCGTGTTTTCACTGAGTTGGATGCCACGTGTGGAAGGCACATCCCCGGGGACGCGCTTTCACTGACTCGACTGCCACGTGTGGAAAGCGCATCCCCGGTGACGCGCCTTCCATTAAATGCCATAAATGCCCCCATCCGTTTTTCCTAACTACCCCTCCTCCTCCCCTATATAAACCCCCTCAACCCTCCCTCATTATTCACACCAAAATCATATTCTCATCTCTTATATAACTCAAGTTCTCAAACTATTTGAGTTTTAAATTTGTTATTAGTGGTAAGAAATTTATTTTTATGTTAGTATTTTTTTAAATAGCTATTATTTTTTATATTAATATATTTATGTAAATATTATTTTTTTATTAAAATAATATTTATATAATTATTATTTATTTAGAATTATTAATTTTTTTTGCTAATTATATTGTTTTGTCTACAGTTATAATGGAAAACGAAATGCTGTTGCGATTGGATATTGATCATATCTCCAGACATTTTAGCGATATGGTAATATTTTTTATAATTAATGTTAATATTTAAATTTATTTTTATTTTAAAGTTATTATGAATTTATATTAATTTTTATTTTTTATAATATATATTATTTAGGATATTGATCGTATTTTAGAGACTTTTATTAAAAATCTACATATACCAACACCGGAACGTATTTTTCCATATTTGGCTTCTGCCGGGTTCGGGTATATTGCAACAATTATAGGCGGTTGCAAACTCGAACCTGTCCTAATTTCTGCACTGATTGAGAGGTGGAGGCCCGAGACACACACTTTTCACCTTTCATGTGGAGAGGCGACAATTACATTGGAGGATGTCTCTATGCATCTGGGGCTTCCCGTCGACGGAAATATGATGTGTGGTATGGCGGATGGTGATTGGCAATCAATGTGCATTAATTATCTTGGAGCTGCTCCGCCAGAGTTTAATGGAGGTAGAATAGCTTTATCTTGGTTGAAAGCTAATTTTGAGGTTTTAAATGAAAATGCTTCAGAGTATCAAGCAAAGGCATGTGCTCGGTCATATATTCTACGAATAATTGGAGGAATATTGATGCCCGACAAATCTCGCAACCAGGTGCATTGTATGTGGTTGCGGCATCTGATCGATTTTGATGAAGCTGGAAGATATAGTTGGGGCGCTGCAGTTTTGGCATTTCTCTTTAGAGAAATGTGTCGGGCGACGAATTATAAGAAAACTGCTATCGGTGGATGTCTTCTGCTTCTACAATCATGGGCGTGGTTCCGCATGCCTTTCTTATGCCCGATCGTGAATGAACCATACGTATTCCCCTTATTGTTGAGGTAATTTTCGAACTAAATTTTGATTTAAATATTTTCAATTAAATAGGGTGATATTTAGTTTATATTATATTTCATAGGTGGTCGATGAAAAGAAAGGACCATAAAAATATACCTACTGGGTTAGAGGAAATTCGTTTACTTATTGATACGAAAGCTGGGTCTGAGGTATGTTTTTAAATTTGTTTAATTATTAATATTTTTATTTAAAATGTTAGATATAATTAGAATATTTTATTTATTTGAATTGTATATTTATATTTCAGTTTCAGTGGATACCTTATGCGAGCAATGAAGTGAAAGCTTGCATCCCACCCCACCTTAGTGGGTCATTAGAGGTATGGATATCGGTTATACCTCTTATATGTTATGCTATTATTGAGTGGCATCCAGTTGATCGCGTGCTCCGTCAGTATGGTTGTACGCAATATATTCCTGGAGCTCCTAGGAATTTAGACGACGTGCATAACATAGATAGACAAGGAAAGAAAGATGTTAACTGGGTGGTGAGACACAGAGATTGGATTGCGCTTTGGGAGAACCGGTATACACTGTTGGCCCCTCGACAATATTACGCTGAAACTGGTCATATGGTTACAGATAACTATATGGACTGGTTTAATGAAAATGGGAAGTCGTTTCTACTTTCGGCGGAAGCACGAGGGGTTAACATTCCTAGGCGCCGAGAAAGACGTCAACCGTCTCAATATCATCGTCCCCCGACGCGTGGACGGAGAGAATGCGCTACCGGTTCTGCATCAGTCCCATCACAACATCCTTATTCGTCGATGCCGCAGGGGTACATGCCCAGCCCTCCACTTCATATGCCAAGCCCACCAGTTTATATGCCATCTCCGCAGGGTTACATTCCGAGCCCGCAGGGTTACATTCCTAGCCCGCCAGGTTACATGCCTAGCCCGCAGGGTTTTATACCATATGGAGGTGCATATACGACTATGTTTAATGATCCAGCATATGGTTCATATGCATCTTATTTGGCTGGTGGTGCTTCTCCACAGACACCTCAATCTCCATCTGGATCACAGACATCGATGCCAATGTTTCCACAGTTTTCACAGTTCCCGGGGAGCGGTGGGATTGTTACTAGCACTCCTCCAGGATCGTTATTTTATACAGGTCCTTCAGCCCCTTCAGCGTCATCTACACCAAATGAAGAAAATGCTGCTGATGATGATAGTGAAGATGAGGAGACCGAAGAACAAGTTCCACGAAGAAATCCTCCACGAAATAGACAACCACCGCCATGTGGAACTCATTCGAGAAGACGACATCGGTGATCCAGTTGTATTTAATGTTATTTAAATAATTATATTTCAGAATTTTATGTAATTTGGTTATGTTATTTAAATGTTTCATGGTTGTTACATACATATTTTTTAATGTTATTTTTATTCACATTTAACATTAAATGTTTGATAAATGTTTTTAAAATACAAATTATATTATTCGAAATTTAAAATAAAAATAAAAATAATATTATTCGAAATTTAAATTTAAAATATAAATTATAGTATTTGAAATTTAACATTAAATTTCAACTTAATATTCCAATTGTATTCGAAATTAAAAGTTATATTCCAATTATAGTTCACAATACTTAAATTGAAATTAAATTTATCCATACATATGATTTTATCATTAACATATATATTAAAACGTATACATTAAAATCAACTTATGTTGAGTTAATTGATCGACGGAATCGGCCAAGAGGGGGTGAATTGGCAATTTATTCAATGTCACATTTCAATGCTCATTCCATACAATTTCAATGTCACAATCAACTTATCACTTCACATTTATTCTATTTACCCATAACATTTTATCTAATTTATTCAAACTTCACATAACGTTTTAATTTAAGTTATTCTTAACTTGCTGAACTTTCAAAAGATGTTAAATTTTGGTTATAATTTACCTGATTTACTGATATATCTAGTGTCCCCGAGGGACATGAGTGACATAATAGGGCAATGATAACATATTTTATGACAAAATAATGGAAGGCGCGCCCCCGGGAACGCGCCTTCAAGTCCCCTGAGAATAATAGGTACTGATATGAATAATGTCCCGAGGGAAATGAGTGACATAATAGGGCAATGATAACATATTCTATGACAAAATAATGGAAGGCGCGCCCCGGGAGCGCGCCTTCAAGTCCCCTGAGAAATAATAGGTACTGATATGAATAATGTCCCCGAGGGACATGAGTGACATAATAGGGCAATGATAACATATTCTATGACAAAATAATGGAAGGCGCGCCCCGGGAACGCGCCTTCAAGTCCCCTGAGAAATAATAGGTACTGATATGAATAATGTCCCCGAGGGACATGAGTGACATAATAGGGCAATGATAACATATTCTATGACAAAATAATGGAAGGCGTGCCCCCGGGAACGCGCCTTAATGTGAATAGTGAAATAATATGTACTGATATATCTAGTGTCCCCGAGGGATATGAGTGACATAATAGGGCAATGATAACATATTCTCTGACAAAATAATGGAAGGCGCGCCCCCGGGAACGCGCCTTCATGCGAATAGTGAAAAATAGGTACTGATATATCTAGTGTCCCCGAGGGACATGAGTGACATAATAGGGCAATGATAATATATTCTCTGACAAAATAATGGAAGGCGCGCCCCCGGGAACGCGCCTTCATGTGAATAGTGAAATAATTGGTACTGATATATCTAGTGTCCCCGAGGGACATGAGTGACATAATAGGGCAATGATAACATATTCTCTGACAAAATAATGGAAGGCGCCACCCGGGAACGCGCCTTCATGTGAATAGTGAAATAATAGGTACTGATATATCTATTGTCCCTGAGGGACATGAGTGACATAATAGGGCAATAATAACATATTCTCTGAAATAATGGAAGGCGCGCCCCCGGGAACGCGCCTTCATGTGAATAGTGAAATAATAGGTACTGATATATCTAGTGTCCCTGAGGGACATGAGTGACATAATAGGGCAATTATAACATATTCTCTGAAATAATGGAAGGCGCCCCCCCGTGAACGCGCCTTCATGTGAATAGTAAAATAATAGGTACTGATATATCTAGTGTCCCCGAGGGACATGAGTGACATAATAGGGCAATGATAACATATTCTCTGAAATAATAGAAGGCGCGCCCCCGGGAACGCGCCTTCATGTGAATAGTACTCCGATTATAGACACTATTATATGCAACATATTATAAACTTTCAAAACAAACTTCAGTTCACAAACTTTCAAATTCTCAAATTCCCAAACTCT